CCCCAAAACCCCAAAACCCCAAAACCCCTTGTATTCTAAGTTGGGTAGAGGTGTTGATCATTGAGATATTTTTATCAAAATAATAAATTTCTATAATATTTAGAGCAGTGTAAATGTTGGACGACATCGAGAAGAAACCAACAATCCGCAAAAATCAATCCGTAAACAGATTTGAAGACCTCTAACAGCCTAATCTCACGAAGACAATGGCCCTAAATTGATAGAACTCTGCTTAAGGAGATTTTTTTATGTCAAGGACACCACAAAAATAGTTCTCATCATCGATATCAATGAATGTTACAAAAGGGACATCTCTTAGTGCTTAGAAAACCAATCATTTATCATAACTTTACAATTCTTCAGCTGGTCTTAATGCAAACCTTGGAGGTTTATTGTAAAATGCAAGAAGTGGAAAATTCAAAAGAGCTGAAGAGGGTTTAGAGGGATTACCAATGGATGCAAAGCCTGCACAGGAGAGTGATTACGAGAATGCTGATTCTTGCTTTTCTTGCGAAAAAGAACTAGCAAAGAGTCTTGGACTGATGAGGAAGAAAGGTAGACATCATTGTAGAAGGTGCGCAAGAACAGTCTGCAATAACTGCTGGAAAAACGAACGTCGAATTTCATAAAACGATAAAAAGACCTATAAGGTCTGTGATCAATGTGATTTTGAGCTTTCTAATTACCAGTTATTGGCTGTGCTCGACTAGATCCAATTCAAGGAAAAGACCATGCAAAGTGTCTTAGAAAAGAAAAATGAGGTTTTAGATGAAGAGATTCAAACATCCAAAGCTTAAAGAATCCAATTGCAAAAAGATCTGGAATAGAAACAGGATGAGTTTGAATAGATGCAGAATAAAACTAAAATAAAGTTGCAAACTCTCAATCATCAATATGAGAGATAGAACAGCGAATTATAAATGCTAAGTGATAAGTAAAAATAAGAATATAACAAGAGATAGGGATTATAATAAGAACTAAGTAATTTGAACATTAAGGAATAAGATATGCAATTTAATCTATAGTAAATCGATCAAAGTGAATAATCTGTTTTAAGGGATCAAAGACATTTGATATAATAAATGTAAATAGAGCTGCCTGAGGAAGTTTTCAAGTAATTGTAAGAAGAATTTGAAGAGATCAAGCTACTTACTGATTCTTAAATTCTAGAAAAATCAGATTTCTTGCTTTATATGAATAGTGAAATATAGAATAAATCTCAAGAAAAAGATAAAAAGTTAGGCTTAGCTGGTAAGAAAAAAAAGAAATGATCATCTTAAGCAAGTAATTATCTATCATCAAATATTACTACTGGTAAACATAATTTATTGTTATTTTATAGATTGTTAAAATCTTCAAATTGCATTCTATTTTATTAGACGGGGTTTTGGGGTTTTGGGGTTTTGGGG